GTTCATTCTCTTTACAGACGCATCAGACTTAGCATTAGGAGCTATACTTTCCCAATTAGATGCTAACCACAAGGAAAGGGTAGTAGCGTATGCAAGTCGCTCTTTAACTACTGCTGAAAAGAATTATGCAGCAACGGAAAAAGAGTGTCTTGCTGTAGTCTGGGCCGTTTCATATTTTAGGCCCTATCTCCATGGGTCCCATTTCACTCTTTACACTGATCATTCGGCGTTAAAATCGTTATTCTCTCACCGGTTACCCCAAAATCGACTGGCCAGGTGGATCCTGACCTTGCAGGAGTATTCATTCACCACCATTCACAAGTCAGGAAAACTACACCTTAACGCCGATAGTTTATCCCGAATCTAAGACAACCCACCGGAAGATATATTTTCACCTCTTATTGCCATACCGACATCACTTACGGATACCCCATTTTGATTTTGACGGACACTATGGATTTAGAAACGTATAAAACTTTTATAGATTACCTTAGCAGGTCTAAGGTACCCCCATACACTAGTAACCAAGTAATGAAACATAGGACTCGACATTACTTCATCCGAAGTAAATTACTTTATAAAACCAACCCACGTGATCCCGAAAGACCTCAGAGAGTCTTAAAGCCTCAGGAAGTTAAACCTATACTACATGCTATGCATACTGACCCCTTAGCCGGACATTTTGGATATGAAGGAACTTATCAGCGGATAAGGGTCAGATATTACTGGCCTCAAATGGGAAGCTATATAAAACGATATATCGAAACGTGTGACACCTGTCAAAGGCAAGGGAGGCCTAGGACTAGGGAACCCCTACACCCAATAAAAGTGGGACAGCCCTTTGACCGGATTGGCATTGATATTGTAGGACCACTCCCAGAAACACCAGAAGGATATCGATATATAGTTGTTGCCACGGACTATCTTACCAAGTGGCCGGAAGCACGAGCACTTAAAAATGCTAATGCTGAATCTGTTGCCTCTTTTCTTATAGAGGATATAATATGCCGTCATGGAAGTCCCCGTGAGTTACTCTCTGACCAGGGTACTCATTTTTGCAATACACTAGTAGACGCTATCTGTAAGCAAATGAAAGTTCGTCGCCGTACATCCGCAGCCTACCACCCCCAAGCCAATGGATTGGTAGAGAGATTTAATCGAACTTTATGTGGAGTATTGGCTAAGTGCGTAAGCCAATACGTTGGAAATTGGACCGAATTTATTTCTACAGCCTTATTTGCTTATCGAACTACACGACACCATACTACTCGGTATGAGCCTTTTTTCTTAGTTTATGGTCGAGATGCTGTATTACCGGTCGAGACCGTTGTAGTGACCTATCCGGCTGAGCCAACTACCGAAACTGAGACTCAAGACTATCTTTTCAGAAGAATTGAGTCTCTTCTAGGGAACCTAGAAGATGCCCGAAACCAAGCCCAAGAAAATGTTAGAAAAGCCCAAAACAAACAAAAGGCTCATCACGATCAGAAATACCGGATC